CTGTGGTCTAGTGTTCAGAGTTTCTGCCTACAGATCCAGAGGTTTCGGGCTCGATTCCCGGCGCTACCATATTTTCTGAGAGGTAGTGAGTCTGGAGCGGGATCCACACAGCCTCCTGAGGATAATTGAGGAGCAATTTTAATGGAAAATTAACGGCTCCGGTCTAGAAAACCGAGATTAAAGGCCGTGGGAATCCGTTGCGCTGACCCCGCGACACCCTCTATCCGCTAAAACTGACACTAACTTCGCCGACAAGCGGCGGTCGCTCGGTCACGGAATTTTTTTTAATGACAGAGATCCGGTGGTTCATATTACAGTTTAACCTCTGTTCTCCCCGTCGTGATACTGATTATACATGTTGTCTGTTCCTTTCTTCGTACAACATAAAATAGGCTACGTTACTTTACCATAAAACATTCATCATTACTTACAAATCACAGCATTTGACTAGTCTCTAAACAAAATTATAAACACATTTTACAACTAAAATATCACAAATGTGAACAGTATATCTCAGTTTAAGATCAGTGTTTGGAAGTCTCCTCTGGTACATTCCTTAAGATATACTTAAAAAGGAACATGATATATAAATATATGACAATGAATAAATTAACGTAAATAATTGCAATGTATCATTTACTATAACAGCCTACATTAAACACTACATATATGGAATGAAGTATTGGTTCTTTCCATCTCGACTCAAAGGTAAATAGAGACGTTGACGTTTCATTGTACAGTAATTATTTCATCTGCCGATAAAATTTTCAGTTCCTATCAGCAATCCTTTCCCTCTATCTTTCTCTTTGTTGCTCATTTGTTATTGCTGAAGTTACAATAGGCTATGTTAGTACTGAAGATACACAGTATACTTCCTCGATGCCGACGTATTCATGAGTGAAGAAAATACTGTTGATAATATTTATTAAAAAGATATTATTAACATCCAATGGAAGTTAATAGAGATAAAATATATGAATTAGTTGATATAGTTTTTTTTTCTTTTCATGCTATAATAAATACCTCACGCTTTCATAGAACGAGGATCTACCCTGAGCATTTCTAAAATATCTTTAATGTTATCTATAGAATTAATATTGCATTCCAATATCGTGCACCGTGTAATATGAATTGAGTAATTTATTTATATATGAATTTACTAATGGATTTATAAAACTCTATTTGTAGCAGTAGTGCTTTCTTTGTATCTATATCTAGGTAAAAATGAGGCATTCTTAATATATTACAAATCTTATCTACAATACTTAATTGCATATGAAGGTAGTGATGAATTGTTCCAATTCATTTCAGTGGTGAAGATACTTTCAACAAGGACTGTGCTATAATAGTCAATATTAAAGAACGTTCGTTGATTTAAAAATATTTATGACTAAATTTAATAGTTTGATTGACCGGAATATGTGAATTTGCTTTAAGTAATTACGGAATAATAATACAGTTAATTATGAAGTTAAATTCGTTTCTAAATTATATGCTAACTTAATATCCCAAAGGCTAATTACAAAATGAGCACGAATAAATATAAAGAAAAAACAAAAATAAAATATAAAAACAAGATGGTAAATAGTTACTATAGGATTCTAACGACGGTGTATAACACACAGAGATATTGGGTTTTCGTACTTTATCCATCGTCCTGGTTTTAAGATAACAAAGAAAAACACGACGTTTCGGAAACTGGATGTGTTTCCGTCCTCAGGTGAGGGAAAACACCTATTCTGTTGGTTCCCTTAGAACGAGCTAGCCTCAACCACTAGCCCAAGATGGTTAATATAATTTCAATAATTCCGTTCAATTCTTTATTTATTTAGTTGCTGAGCTCAATAACTAAAGGCCAGTTACCAAGTCAGCACGATTACAAACAACAGCATTATGATAATACAGGACAAAACAAATAAGAAATAACAAAAGCAAAGAAAAATGAATCAGTTTAGACTCAAACAAGGGTGTTTTTTTTAAAAACGTCTGTTAGTTAAACTGCATATGTGGTTCAGGCCTGCATAGTTGAAGGGGAGGGGCTAGAGGAGCAAGTGAACGTGTTGAAGTGAGGAATGTTCCGAGTAGGAAACCAGAGCTCGACTCTTTCGAGGATAGAGGGGCAGCATTTAGTGTCACTGAAAATATTTATTAAGAAAAAGCAACAAAGTAACGATGCCTGTTATGCAGTGTCAGCAAATCTAATCTTTCCAATAAATTATCAGAGTTGGAAAAATCTATTGTGGCAAAGGGCTGAAATTTGTCTTTGTATGCTCTCAAGTTTATTTGAATCAGTAATGGTAATAGAGTTCCAGGCAGCAGTTCAGATCTGACCAAAACAAAATATAAAATCTGTGGATTGTCTAAGATGGAAAAGGAAAATGTTGTTGTGTGAATCAACCCTAGTAATTTCAGTGCGCGCGAAAAAAAAAATTGACATGACGATAGAAATGAAATTGCAATCAATAATAACACTCAAATACTTAATACAATGTGTTCGCAATATACAGCAACTTCGAAGTGTATGCTGATAATTCAGAAAATTCGCCTTTCTGGTAAAAGAGATGAATATAATATAACTTAAATTAGACTTCATAAACTTTTTCGAACGTCATTTATGTACACAATCAATATCTGACTCTAGAAGAAAGCAGTCGCTAGGTGAACTAATTGCTTGATAGATTTTACGGCCCTCAGAAAAAAGAAGGCTGTTAGATTGATTAGTTATGTCACATAAATCATTTATAAAAATATTAAAGAGAAAAGGTCTTAAAATTGACCCCTTTGGTACGCCTGACTGCACGACAAAAGGGCGAAAAATTATACCAGAATAGCATACTCGAAATTGTCTGCTTTTTAAATAACTGAGAAACCAGCTTAAATAACCGAAAGCTAAGCCATATTTACTGGGTTTGTTAAGCGATGAATGTGCAAGAATGTGGAAAGCATTGCTAAGCTCAAAATAAATGGAGTCAGTTTGACCTTGTGAACAGACTCAAAGGCTAACAAAGTTAAGAAAATCGACATAGTTTGTAAGAGTATATTTAGATTTGATAAAACTATGCTAGGAATGGTTGAATTTAAGTTTTACGAAGTGGCTATATGTGATAAATTTCAAGAAATCTTTGGAAAAAATATTAAGAATAACTATGGGCCTATAATTTCCAACAGAAGAAGTTTTATTTATTGGAAGTAAGGACAATAGCTACTCATTTCCAAAAGTTGGAAAGAGTATTGTGACGTATGCTAAGATAAGTAGTAAACTTGAGTACAGGCACAAAATTTCAGAGCAGCCCTATATAAAAGAAAGTTAGGTAAACGTCAAGTCCACCTGATTTCTTTCGCCCCAACCCATTATAAATTTTGTAATAGGAGATATTGATAAAACTTATGCAGATTGATTAATAAAAGGAAAAGTTGCAGCGCAAAACTACCATAAACCGATTGAAAACATTTTTAAATTTTCTCAACAACATCAAGAGATTTATTTATTAGGATAAAATTGATTTCAAGTGTAGTAAATCAGTATTTTTTTCCTGGATTGAGATAAATATTTTCAAAATTTTAGATTATCATCGACGTATCTGAGTCAACGAAATATGTCAGTCCTTATGGTTCTTTTAATTAATTTTCGGTAAACCGAAACTTTGTAATAAAAATAGTCACCATTGTACTTCTTGTAACGTCTGTAAAAATAAATATTATTAATGTAAGCTTTTAGTTATCCAGAAAACCAGGCAGGATATTTATGTTTTTCAGTGTATCCAGAACGAATAGCTGAAACTATGGCTTGGGATACAGCAACATTTAATCTGCCAACTTCAGCATCAACGGATGTTTCGTTGTAGAGTGAAGACAAGTCATGAGTATAAAGCATTCCATAATCCCCAGCAGAGAAACTCTTGTAAGACGTGTTAAAATTATGTTTATTGACACTGCACAGCAATGATAAAAGGAGGCTGCAATAATCGGGGTGAACTAGGCCGTACTTTGCATGATCAACCAAAAGCTCAGCAAAATTTGGTGGGGTGGGGGAGGGGGGAAAGAACATGGTCAACCAAATTCAGCCGTTGATTTAAACCGAGCAAACAACAACAATAATAATTTCAGTAGCACAAATCAAAGTCGTTATTAAGAAAAGAGTAAAGTAAAATATATACATTTACATTGCGTATACTTATTATTTTAATGATGGGACGATGATAATATATTATTATCATTATTGTGTGTCCGTTTCTTCCTTTCATTCTTGCTCGCTTTGTAATTGGTCCTTCGACTGTTGAATTAGCATGCAAGTAAACAAGAATTGAATTAAAAAATAGAGTAAATTGTAAATTTGAATTAAAACTCCATAATTTCAAATAAAGTAATATGTTAATTATTTTTTTAAATCTAAATGTAAATTTCTGAGAGCGTGACAAATATATTTTTATCTCGGTGTGTACTCATTTGTGTTAGTGATCTATATTTTATAGTAGGTAAATTTAACTCACATAGGTAAAATGAAATTAACATATTAACTATTTAAATTGATGTTAATAAAAATATATTTTCTGTATAAAAATTTGGGCCTCCTTTTTGTATTCTCTACTCTAGAATAGAATGTATATTATATAAGTTTGAAAGTTTTATTATAGTGATGATAATGGCTGATAGTGAATGATATATTAAGCTTTATCAAGCAACAAAGAGAGAGAAAGACATTCTAGACACAATATCATTTCTTTGTAGGTAAAAAAATCATTATTCCGACATCTAATTTAACACATATATTTAACTCAAATGAATCTAAGTACTTAACCTAACACAGTTTTGTAGCAGATTATGTAAGAACACAAAATTTACTTCAAATACATAGGTATAATATGCTAATACAGCGAAAACACTTACGTAGGCTTACAGAAACTTTATCTTACATGAAAATTATAGCACAGACGAATAAACTAAACGACAATAGCTTGGAATGTTAATTAATTACATTAAGTCATTGGATTTGGCGTAGACTATTCCGTCAGACAAGCTCCTACTGTTTCTCGTACCTTGAAATACGTGCAACTAGCAACATTGGGGTGCAGCTCGCGTCAATGTCATTGGCACAGAATTCCCTCCGAATAACAGCGGTCGGGACTTCGATTTAGTGCCATTTTATAGTCTACAATTAAGATAATAATAAACTAACTTAAAGTGTAGGCTCTATATACAAATATAAATATAATCCATGCAAAAAGGACCTTCTAGAATACTGAAATTTAGGAAATGACATGTCATCTTTTTTATGTCCGGTATACGAAATCCCTATGCTTAGAAAATTAGTCATTATCTTTATGAATTAATTGTATGCAATATAATTATTAATCTTGAGCAGGTATATTGTAATATTTGGTTATCCCTATTATTAAACGTTTTATCAACGAGTAACTAAAGGAGCATTGAAATAAATTGTGAAGTTTTCCGAGCATTTCTTCATATCTCTGTAGAGCATTGCAAGTTTACTTACACGAGTTCTCATGACATGACCTTCAGAGAAGAAAGAACAACTGCTTGGAAATTAGTAGCTGCTGATCGAACTAAACCAGTTCAATTTCCACTTCCGCCGTCTCCTCTTCAAAAGAATCTGGCGCGACAACGCCAAGCTCCTCACTATCGCCGTCCTTGAAGCACGCGGACTCGAGGTGCTTGTTGAGGTAAGACTTGAGTGCGAAAGACTTATGGCAGCGCGTACATGTGAAGTTCTTGTCGGCAGAATGTGTCTGCATATGCGCGCGCAGGTTGGAACGGTCAGCGAATGCCTTGCCGCAGTGAGCACATCCGAACGGCTTCTCGCCCGTGTGCGAGCGGAGATGTCCCTGTAGGAGCCAGGGCCGTGAGAACAGCTTACCGCACACACCGCACGCGTGAGACAACTTATGCGTCAAGAGGTGCATGGCCAGCGCGGGCATGCTCACGTATGCTTTCCCGCACGTGACACACTTCTTGGCGGACTGAGAATCAAGGCTTCGGTGCGTCTGTTTATGGCGTGACAAGTTGGACGACGTTGCATACTGTTTCCCGCATTCGGAACACACGTAACGACCTTGTTTACCGCTACTTTGAGAAGACTCAGGAGTGTCACAGGAATCCTCTTTCTCGGAGGAGCAGGGGCTAAGAGGTGACGACTTGTTGCTGCTGGTCTTGTTCTTTGATCGTCCGTCCGATACCAATAACGCGTCATAGGTGTATACCACGGAACTTTTGACGACACGGTGTGTTTCCGACCCAACGATTTCTTGCTGACGCACCTCTCCTATTGTCACGGACTGCAGGTTCGGATTGTTGTTCTCCGCATCCGAGGAGTACTCCGAGGTGGGCGGAGTCAGGGACGGTGGGGGCTGGGGTTTCGCAGACTCTGGCTGTGGGTTGTAGCATGGCGGTGTCTGGTAACACGACAGTGGCTCCGGGGACGGCGGGCGATAACATGGCTGTGAGACTGGTGACTGCGGAGGGTATGCTTGGCTATGGGGTTCCGGGGATGGAGGTTCTGGGGTACTGTAGCAAGGAGGGAGCTCGTGGTGGGTCGGCGGCTCTTGCAGCCTGTAGCACGGGACAGGTTCCTGTACTGTGGCCACGCTCGGGGCCGGGAGAGGAGGCAGGGAGCGGGACAGCTCCAGAAGGTCATGAGCCGCCTCTGTCTCCTCTACGCTGCGCATCCGAAAGATGGGGATTCCTCCATCGTGGGACAGTACTTCGGTGTGCACCGGAGCTGGCGGAAGATCCTCGGGACCCTGAGGCATGAATTCATGTAGATAACCTGAAAGAAACAACATTTGACATTACAGACAGCCTGCTCTGGGAGTTCATGCTACTGGTTCAACGAAATTAGTGTCTTTTTCAGCTTAATTTTCTTATTTTTTAAAAATATAAGAGAACTTATGAGATCACCATGATGCGTGTCTTTGTCTTCCTTAACAACTCTTGAATGACGGCACGAGACGACCAGCCCTAAGTCAGAGAACTTTTTGGAGAACAGCGGTAAGCCTATGTGATACTCGGGACGAGCAACCTTAAGGATGGATAATTGTGCTATGACGCTTGAGAGCCGGAATAGTGGAGCTAGAAGATACGGCTATTGCTGGGCAACGGCTCGACGAACACGTTGGCGTGGCGGTGAATACAACGCAACAATAGAACTGTTGGATGTGGTATTTTCTATGCTGTCAGTGTTGTATCAAATACATTCAACATGCAGTGGAAGGAACGTAGGCGATTAGTTCTTCCTAGAATTTCTTGCTTATTATTTCCTGGGATTTTGTGAAATTGAGTCAACTTGGTCGGCCTGCCAGTAGTGGGCCATTTATGCCAGCTGCAAGCGGCCAGCGGAATCGGATTTGGTAGGGGAAGCTGAAATACTGAGCCGGTCACGGTAGCCGAGCGGTCTAAGGCGTGCACTGTCTTCGCTCGCTCGGAAGCCGGGATCGTGGGTTCGAATCCCACTCAGGGCATGGATGTTTGTGTGCGTTTTTCTGTGTTTGTCTACAGGTAGAGGCCTTGCGACGAGCTGATCACTCGCCTAAGGAATCCTACCGTATGTGTAAGATCTAGTAAACCGAAGTGAAACGGAGAGTTTCATGGAGGTAGGCCTAGGCCCCAATTGGGGCTGTAGCGCCACAGGAAAGGAAAATAGCTGAAATACTGAGAGAAAATGTCCACCACAAATCCGACAGCTAGGCCTGAGATTGGAAACCCGTCAGTCGCGATGGGCATTCAGCGACTAACTGCCTGAGCTATGGCATGCTCTTAGTTACTTACTTACCGTCCCAGAATTCTTTGTAACTGGCTAAATATGACGTTCTGGCTCGTCTTAGTTTTTGTTATAGGGGTTATGAAACATAACGTGTATCTTATTTAGCTTTAAACTGAACCAATTTGTAATGCTCGCAAATAATTCATAATCCTACGTGTGTATTCGAGTGTAACAATGGGGAAAGTTAATGAAGAGTTAAGGACATTTCTGCTAGCGTTCCAAAACATTATATATGCAATCAAGACACTGATTCCAAGCATGTCACGTCTTTAATAATATCAGTAAACATTACTTTCATATGTACGGTTTCTTATAACGACCAGCAGTTTTAAAAATTGAGACTGACGAATCGAATAATAAAACTTGCAATGGGTACGCTTTCCCAAGTTCTGTCTCGTTGATTGTATGTCCGTTCTCTTACTATCACAGGCACCCGGTGCTATATCTCTACACAAAATATTAAATAACATGAGTCTTAATTGAATTCATGAGACGTCTGCTAAAAACTAAAATCCATGGCCTTTAGTCCGTAAGCGAACTCTACCGACCGAGCGACCGCCGCTTGTCGGCGAAGTTAGTGTCAACTTTTGCGGATAGAGCGTGTCACGTGGTCAGCGCAACGGATCTCCACGGCCGTTAATCTCGGTTTTCTAGACCGAATATGAAATGCCTGTTAGTGAGGAATGTTTTCACAGTACTTGATACAATTATATTTAGAAGAAAGCAATAAAATTACATAAGCGCTGATGCATAATGAAACAGCGCCATATTCTCAGGCGTAGTTCTGTATCGTATAAGCACACCACACGAATTTCAATAAATAACTCAGTTTTAATTAATGGGGTGTATATTGCTGCATTACTGGAAAGCAATAGCTATTCTTTACTGTCGTGTTACGGTGTGGGGATTAACATTGTAGGGACTGTTGTCACAGTAATCCACCGCTTTGGAACATGTTTATTTTTTATTTTTAACGTATGAATGATGAACAATAATTACGATTTTACAGAAGTATACTGGTAATGTAGCAATGGTGGTCATTGTATTATTTTTGAAAATTATTTCCTGCATAAATTGTGAAGGACTGTGATGCTGAATGTGCAGTTTCCACAACGACTGTAATTAAAATCACATTATCAGCATTTCGACTGAAAGCTGTCCGGGACATGTTACGATAAATATAATAAAAATAAGATTAATAAATTTTCGCAGCTACTTTCAGAGATTAAAGCCAATTTCATGAATTGATTTCTGAGAATAATGTGAAATGCATTGGTGTACACTAATATGGGCCAGATGAGTCCAGTTCACGCCATTTTACGCTTTTTTTGAGGACAAGTGATGTAGCAGTCCCTGTTCATGTCAACATATCACACTCCACATGCAGTGTCTGAACTGCGTGGTCGAAATGCCGTGTTATGTAACGTTATCCAGGCTGAAACGTACTTACCCTTGGCATATAAATCGGTTTCTAATGACACGACAGGTACACACGAAGAGGGAAGTAAACAGGTTTAGAATACTTTTATATGCGTACATGGCCCTGGGGTCGACTCAACCGCTAACAGAAATGAGTACCGGAGGATACCCTGGGGCAGGGGGCGGCTTGCACTTAAGGCTGACGACCTCTCAGTCATCTACGGGCCGATTGTCTAGAATTTGTAGGAACCTCAACATTTCACAACTCTATAGTCCTCCAAGGCCTATTACAAGGATACCTTTACTTTACTTTTTTTTAATAAAAAATATTAATGAATAGCTTATAAAATGTGTTGTAACAAAAATTTTTGCTGGATGACGTAGTGTAGAAGCAGGGATTCAAATTCTGTTACCCCTAAGAGCCAACTTAGTAAAACATTAATTAATTCTCACATTAATTCTTCGCTCGCTTGAAACCGGGATCGCGGGATCGAATTCCACTCAGGGCATGGATGTTTGTGTACAGGTAGAGGCCTTACGACGAGCTGATCACCCGCCCAAGGAGTCCTACCGAATGTGCAAGATCTAGAAAAACCGAAGTGAACGGAGAAGTTCATGGAGATAGGCCTGGGCCCACTGGGGCTGTAGTGCCAAGGGGACATAACCGTCCTTCGGTTCTGCTAGCCCCGGTAGAGCAATTCGACTCCTCTCAGGGCTTGTTGACTGGCCACGACTTGGATGATTAGTGGGGCTTTAGGCGTAGGGAAGTCACCTCAACACCAATTAACTGTATGGAGTCTTTATTTAATTTGCACTAATTAAACAGAAAGAGCCCCGTAGTGGTACACTTCACAGATTCGTGGGTGTAGGCTTACTTACTCTTCTGGACCGCACACTTAATAGTCACCACAGGGCGTGTTTACGGGGATCAGAACACGTGTACCCCCGGTGAATGTAACTTTCAAAGTCCTCCTTGCCAAGCACCCTCTGAATGGTAAATATTTGCCCTTGTTACCCAAAATTCGGGCAAAGGACCTCCCACTTCAGATGATGGTTGGCTGGACCGGGCAGACTGGGAGGTTGCTTATCATTCTCCTCCAATTAGAAAAGCGAATATCCACTAGTGTACAGTTTAGGGGTGAACTCTGCCACCTGCTGCGTGGCTGTCAAACTGAGATTTTGGGGTAGCAGGAAACGACGCTGCTAAATTTATGACTTTCCCTGTCAAGTTTAGAATTTCTAAAGAACTCGGCCTTGTTACGCATTAAATTGACTGATTTACGAATGGGCAGCTGGCTTCCAGCTTGACCCAAGCTACTTACTGCTTGTATCAGGGGGAAAGTTTCAAATTGTGAGGTGAAAGTGAGGAATTTCACAAAACCCTAACCATACACAAACATCAATTGACCTTCCCATAAACTGGACAGTTACAGGGAAAAACTCGGAACGTATTCTTAAAGAACAAAATTTGCGGCCATCACGAAATATGTCGTGATTACAGAATTATGAAACGGAGCAATTCTGCTGACTTCATATCAAGGTCATCCATTTTTATACATGTGTACAGGCTTCCCTCTCCAAATTATACACCATCTAAAGCTAAGAAAAAGCTAAAAGTCTTATGGATTGTTCCTTTCAGTTGTAGCATCGATATATGGCGAAATTTACGAGTGGTGGATTGAAGACTTTAGTGTCCTTGATCGGACAATGGAGTTGCTCCAAAGTATATAATGTTGTGTAGGAGACATCCCCTGATTCCTCTCACGTCCCCCCCTCTCTCTTTAGGTCACTCTGTCATTTTTATCCGCGGAAAGGAGACGCAGACTCGAAATGGAACGGAAATTTGAATTCAACATAATCCTGCAGCCGTAGCCTATATATTGCTGTCGGAGGAGAGAAAGAAAAAAAAAAAGCTGTGTGGCGATATTACAGTTTCCTTCTGCAACCCC